TATAAATAATATAAATATAATATAATAAATATATATAAATAATAAAATAATAAATATAATAAATAAATATAATATAAAAAAAATCAATAAAAATTCTATTGATTTATTTTTATTAATGTACTTAATATTCATTGTTTAATTATATTCTTATGTATTTTATATAGCCATTTAAAAATTGTAATGCCTTTTATGGATTTATGATAATAATTAAATAAAATGATATTAAATAATAATTATATATACATATATAAACATATCTGTGAATGTTTATTAAAAATGTAATCCATATTAAAAAATTCAGATATAATTATAAAGATTTCTTTGATTATTTATCTGATTAATTATTTTATTATATAATCAATTACTTAATTACCCATAAATTTAAATATATAGAAATGTAAATATATAGAATTAATATATATGTTAAAGAATTAAATACTAAATACTTTTAAGAAAATATTTTATTAATTAATTGATCTGAAATTATATCTTAAATTTAAATAAGCTTATGCGTTTATTTTAATTTATTTATGCAAATATATAGTTTATATATATTATCATTATTCTATAATAAAAAAATTAATATATATATATAATAAATTTATATATTATTATATATATATATATATATATATGTATCATAATCTATATATATTAATTTAAAAAAAAGATTTAAAAATATTGGCTTCTAAAATGAATATTTAAAGAAAATGAAGAAATAAAAAAGGATAATTATAATGCAAACTTATATTATAATATATATATATGCATAATATATAATGCAAATTTTATATAAACTTTAATTATATAATCATTCCTAAAGAATTATATATAATTCATATATTCATATATATCTGTACATATGTACGTAATTTGTGAAACATGATAAGACATGTATGATAAAATAATATATATTTTATATTCAATTCATATATATTTATATGTTGATGGCACATATATGTTCTTTAACAAATATAGAAAAACTGATATATAAATCGATTTATAAATGATATATAAATCGAAAAAATGTAAACTTCTGGTCAATACTAAAGATGTATACGGCTATAGCTATTACATAGACGTTCAAATATTAAAATGAATGTGAATTTTATCAAATATATTGGATATATTGGATATAATTTATATTCCATGTTCCATTATAAGTTAGACAAAAAAATTTAATTCTATTAATATTTTTAAAAAAGAGTTTTGAATAAATTTAGAAAAGATGAAAAAAAATTATTATTTTTTTTTAAATCATATATTATATTATATTAATATATTATATTTCTTTTTTTACATTCAATATTAGTTATATATTTAAGACATATTCAGTCATATATTTAAATTCATTCAATTATTATAAATATATTAATTCTATATCTACATACAAAAAATAAAAAGAAATAAAATGGAAATGAATCAAAAAAATAAAATAAGTTTATATAAGAATACCATAAATATATATATAAAAAATCATTATAAAAACAAAATTCTATTTTTAAAAATTTTTTTTTAATATTGTATATAATACATTTTTAAATTTGAAATTTTAATATTATGGATCAAATATTTTTTTCGAATTGATCACAAGATCATGATTTTCAATTTTAAAATTGAATAATTTGCAAAATTTGAAATTAATTTATTAATCTCTGAATTGATCGTTTTTTATCTTTCTGTCTTTTTATTGTTCTCTTATATTTCATAAGTTTTCTACGTATTGTTTTAAATCTGATTTATAAAAATAAGAGATTTGAAAATAATATATATTTATACTACATGACTTAATATATTTTTTATAATCATATTGATTATAAATTTATTGACAAAAATTACTTTGTTGTTTCTCTTGACTTAATCAAACTTTAAAAATATATATATATATTTATTATGTTAATATATTCGTGAGATATCTTTGTAATACTTAAGAATTCTTAAAATTAAAATAAATTTTAATACAAAATAAATATAAAAGTATAATATAATATAATAATAAATAAAATTAATACAAAAAATTTGATTGAATTTATTTATTAAATTATAAGCAATTTAAGTTTGCATTAAATAAAGTGACAAAAGCAAAGCGAGATGACGATAAAATGATGAGAATTGTTAATTTAATTTCGTTTCTTTATTAAATTTATGTTATAATCTTTTTATTATTATAATTATTAATATTATTTATATATATATAAACGATATTATGTTATATATAATAATATATAATAATTTGAAGTAAAACA